CTAGAGATTGAATCTGATTCTCTTGAAATATTTAATATGTTTATGAATGTATTTAGAAATAACGTCATTGATAGAGTTAATGTTTTTGTTTTTATATTCCGTTGTAATAAATGGTGTTCATTGACACATTGTTGTCGTAACTGTTTTTTGCTGAGAGATAATTATGACTTAATGAATAGTTCTGCTTACAATTACATCAACTCTAGCAATGACGTTAATTCTAAATAAATTCATTCATTTTCAACAACTCGGCCTCATTTATTTCGTTTAACTATTGTTACGTTTTAAAGTCTACGAAAGTAAATGTATATTCATATTCAGCTTTCCCCTTTCTGAACAGTGGACGTTCTGATCTGCTACTGCAGCCAGAAATTAAATTATTTATACTGTCATGTATATACACCAGAACAATTCCTAGACAGAAGTTATTATTTACTAATATAACATCAGTCTCTTCATCATTGTACTCATTGATAATGTAGTTTTGTATATTAAGCACATTTTTTTCCTGTGAATGGCTTTAAAAAATCTTCGAATTTTATTCCGTATGTAGAGTGAAATTCAATGTAGTATGAATATAATTTTTTTTTCTCAATCTCTATGTGTACCACTTTAAGTTTAGTTCGTACTTCCAGACATTATTGTTAACGGACAGTGAAATGTCTAGACAGTATATAGGGTATGATCTATGTCGTGAGAATCACATAAAATAATAATCACTCATCAGTCCCCTGAGATAACATTAAACCTGTAACGTAGACAATAAAGTCATGTGATGTGAAATGGTTTCTCGTTACTAAGTTGATCAATATTCGTTGTTTCCATAAGTTTGTCGCAAAATATTGAAATTTGTCATGGAAACGGCTGTGATTTTAGAGTGGATGATGAAAAAGTACAACAAATATTAAATTGATGATTTTCATTGCGTTGATATTTGTATTAAATTGAAATTAAATTGAAGGTGTTTGGTTCTTTAATTGGATTCAGAAATGCCGACGTATAAGTCAAATTAGTCAGCTATCAGACGAGTATAAAAGAGTACTGCAGCTCAATGTAAAGATATATCACCACAATTTTACGATAAATTTGTCTCCACCAAAAGAAGCAGTGTCAAGAATTCATCACAATTATCTGACGTTTTATTTTTTTTCCTTCACTTGATAAAATACCAACTTCAGTGACACTTTTTAGCTCGACTATTCGATAAGAATAAGAAGAGCTATTGTAGTCACCCGAGCGTCGGCGTCGGCGTCAGTGTCGGCGTCTGCGTCGGCGTAACCACTTATGTTAAAGTTTTTGTAATAGTTCAAATATTTTCAAAGTCCATTGACATATGGCTTTGAAACTTTGCACACTTGTTCACCATCATTACCCCAACCTGTAGACAGGAGGAGGTAACTGTATCAAGCATTTTGACAGAATAATGCCCCCTTTTCTACTTAGAATTTATGTTAAAGTTTTTGTAATAGTTCAAATATTTTCAAAGTCCATTGAAATATGGCTTTGAAATTTTGCACACTTGTTCACCATCATTACCCCAACCTGTAGACAGGAGGAGGTAACTGTATCAAGCATTTTGACAGAATTATGCCCCTTTTTCGACTTAGAATTTATGTTAAATTTTTGTAATAGTTCAAATATTTTCAAAGTCCATTGACATATGGCTTTGAACTTTGTACACTTGTTCACCATCATTACTTTTGTACACTTGTTCACCATCATTACCCCAACCTGTAAACAGGAGGAGGTAATTGTATCAAGCATTGTTTTTACTATCAAGCACTAATAATAGTCGAACGTTGCTGTCCTACCGACAGCTCTTGTTTTAGCTTATGATACATAAAATGAAATCGTTGAACATTCATCATGTTTTAGATATTTAATATATGTGTAATATATGTCATACATATGTCTTTATTAGTTATCTGTCTACTTAACATAGACCTACTTTTTTGTGACGTTACAAATATTTGATATCGTTTCTTGGCCAATGTCATAAATATAAATATTTGATGAACAATGTATTTGTATGTGTAGGCAAAGTACACCGAGTCAAACAAGGGAATTAGTGAAAAGTTTCTCTCTTGATTGCATGGTTTAGCACACAGAATGGGTTGAGACAAATGTTGTAAACTTGTGCTGGCATTTATTCATGTTTATAGATCAACTTACATGTTACTGACAATAAAGATCACGACAGTTATGCAGCCAACAGGTCTGTTTGCGTATCATAATATACACACTTCCATCTTTAGACAAGGTGACGATAGAGCGGACACAGAACGTTTGCTTGCCGTCATATGACGTCATTACGTCGATCAGTTTACATTTGTATGAAAAGCGTGTTCCCATTTCAAGACTGTGATACTTCTGCTATCTGACGTCGACCATTAAACGCACGAATATAAAATATCATTCAAATGTCGTTGTTTTTTTTCACATATTTGGCAAAGTAGTTGAAAAATCATAGTGTAAGAATCTAAACGAGGCAGAATCTCTGCAAAACTTCACGTCATTGCTACAGTTAATCAAAATTATACGCAGAACTATTCTTAATGATAAAAAAGTCATATCCTCCCGCGATAAAGGAACGATAGGTAATAGAAAGAGCACCGAAACACGAGGCTATCTGATTTGTACGAGGGGGCGTAGCCCCCGAGTATAAATCAGATTGCCGAGTGTTTTGGTGTTCTTTCTCTTTTGTATCATAGTCAAACATGACAACACGTTCCCTGTTGTCATAGTATGAAACCCCAGAAAAAAATAACCAATGAACGAGCATTTGAATATGATAGTTCTGCCCCTTTCCCTTTCTCTGCCGTCACAATATGTAAACCCCGGCAAAAATGAACCAATCCACGGGCATTATCTGGAGTGCGGGTAACTGATACCCGCACTCCAGTTACCGCACTGTTCATGTATATGTATACGATTTAACTCTGACACTTTTTCAACAGAAAGGTACCCAAACTATGATACAAGCAACAATTGTATCTTAGTTTGGGGACCTTTCTGTTGAAAAAGTGTCAGAGTTAAATCGTATACATATACATGCACAGTGCGGTAACTGGAGTGCAGGTATCAGTTACCCGCACTCCAGATCATGCCCGTTGATTGGCTCATTTTTGCTGGGGTTTACATATTGTGACGGCAGAGAAAGGGAAAGCGGCAGAAATATCATATTCAGATGCTCGATCATTGGTTACTTTTTCCCGGGGTTTAAAATTGTGAAAACAGGGAACGTGTTTTTATGTTTGACTATGATACAAAAGAGAAAGAACACCAAAACACTCGGCAATCTGATTTATACTCGGGGGCTACGCCCCCTCGTACAAATCAGATAGCCTCGTGTTTCGGTGCTCTTTCTATTACTTATTGAATACCTCTTGCTTAATCTACACGCTAAAAGAACATCATATATTTGAACAGGTGACATGTAGATCTATAACTTATTTTCTTACTGTGCAGAACTGTCACAGAGGATGATGGCTCGGACAATGTCTATCTTGTTTTCTTCTGATTTTACATGTATTTATTGACAAGTTTGTCATTTAAACATGTAATGATGCTTTATGTAAACATCTGTTAAATAAAATTTAACATAACGTTCAGGTTAAAGCCGTTGTAGAGATGTTCACTGACAGGCGAATTTTATACAATTTAGACGTGTTAGTTTATATATTTTTATACATATACAACAGTAGATTGCCAGATAAATTGTATACCTGACATGTCGAGGTTATATCCTATCTTTTAAATGTGTGCCTTTAGTTTACCAGGTTATATATAGGAAAACCTTTTATGTACTCCATCATAGCTCATTTCCATATTCAGAGTCCAAAATTCATAACAAATTGTCATTGTACACTAGAAAAAATTTAAAAGAAATGGAAAAAGTGAAATAAAGATGTCCTTATACATTGTACATATTATTTTAGAAATTCAAACCCTTTTAAGCAAAACAAAAATGACACTAAGTTAGTATTTTAAACCGAAATTCGCTGCACACAATTTATAAAGGCGTTCTCACGACTGTTTTGATATTTTCCTTTTCTATACATTTCTATACATACATTTTTATATGTATAATATATATAGAGGAAAAAAAGAAGAAGAAAATCCAGAGTATCCCCTTCGATTGTTTTTCACATCTGTATTATTTAATGATATAAAGCTCTCATTTATCCTAAGACTACTGTTATTATGTAATAGATATTAATTACTACGTAACACATACAAATTTATTAGTGTATCTCCATAATTAACATACATTTTTGGTGTCACTGTATGTATGCATATTTTTTCGTGTTCCCAAGGTCATTATGTACTCTACGTTTCATAATTTCCACTATTGAAAGCAGAATTTACTTAACTTTAAATGACACAATTTTATGCTGTTGTGTGTGGATCTTTTTTCTGATAATTGCGTGAAAAAAATGGTGAATTGCAACCATAGATAACAACAGTAGAAAAGAATCTTTGTCTGAATTTAAAAGTAATCTTTAGCTTAGTCAGAATATTACTGTAATGGTGGCGGTAACAAGTAACGACAACAAAACAACATCAAAAACACCTTATAAACTGGGAAGCGAATCGAAGAAATGAGAAACGAACGATAAAAAGTGCGACTGGAGAAACAATAATTTAATGTCGAACTGACGGACGACAAACAGTCTTTACAGCATAGCTTGATATTTAAGCGAAAATACGTAGCTATGCTATAAGATTGTTTATACGTCTGCTATATATAAAATGATTTGATTTTGTTCTGTGAGCTTTTAGATTTTGTGTTTCTTATCGTAGAATATATGTACATTAAAGGGCATGATTGAACTGGAAATAATTTTTACTGGGTATATTTCTTTATCACAAATTTGCTAATCGTTCCATTAGAAGTGATTTCAGTTAATTTACTTAAGATATTTATATTTTATCTTTCTCGGGCTTTTCGACCTCAGTGAGTGCCTTTTAATAATCCCTTTCTTAATTTATAATTCCAGTTGGGAGTCCACTTCACGCACGATATGGCGCAGGTCACGTGCATACAGGTGGGTGAAATGGACTTATGGGCATTACAGATGACAGTGTCGTTTTATGTATGGCACTAGCGCTCTGGAACACAAAAGATTCCAATACTTAAAGAGGAGGCTATATGGACTTAATGGACATCAGGTATTTTTTATCTATATAATGAGTTTTACCTTTGAACTTTTCATTTTGAAATGTTCTTTCTTTTGATACCTACGTGATTGTTTAGGAAATGTGTGAAAGGTGTTTTGCAGTTTTGATGCGTGGGAATTGACCACGAAGGCCGTGTAAGATATCTGTTTATTTCAAGAATTTGTGTTTGTTTCTCTATGATAGGTTAATAAGCTCTCTCACATTTCCTCATAAATAAGTACTTTAACATGAATCCGAGCACTGTAGATAGAATTTGTTCGGAAAATTTATCTTGCATATCCTATTTGCGTTTTTATGAAATTACAATGATGCAATTTGTTCTTATGAAATGACATAAAGATATATTTTTCATAATTTGGCTTGTATTTTTATCTGAAAAAAAAATATAACCAAAACAAATATTTCTAGTATAAACGTTCCTATATGGTATCAATTTAAGTAGTAAACAGAATGTCTGTATTTTATTAACTTTCGTATTTTCCCCGCAAAGTTGGTGGGAATGACCAATTTAGGTTGTCACTTTCTTGCCGCATCATATGTGAACAGCCATTTTGTCACGAATTACCCTAGCTGTAGGAGAAGGAACATTACCTTAAGTATAGTTTATTACCGATTGATAATGTATGGGTGATTTGTTATCTCGTCTAGCTGGTATCAAGCATTTTACACTGGTAATAAGTGTTTTAGAATTAATTGGAACCGACTGCAACGATGTTTATATTCAAAAGTAAGACGCAAGGACTAAAATTTAACTTATATCTAGGCCAATTCACCTAGGCAATATTTTATAGTCTTTTCGTTATGAATAAAAAATCTGCGATGAATTCGGATTCACCTTGTATAACCGGTAAAACTGAGATGCACATGTACACCGAGAGTTCCGGTGTCTTTGACACCAGGAATGCTTTTGGGAATGATTTTTGTTTGAACAATTTTGGAACAAGTGAGTTCTCACGGCAGAGAGCAAATTGTTTGTTAATTGTAATTTATATATAGTTAACTGTGTATGAAGAAAGACTGTAGGGAGACGCATCACCCCGGAATATTAGTTAAAATTAAGACATATTTTATTTTATTTTGTCAGGGAAATCACGGAGAAGATGTTAAAGAATTGTATTATTACCTGGACAACACACCAACACATTCATACATGAAGGCACTCTATAAATATCCACAGAAAGAATTCCCGTATGCTGAAATAGAGAGAGAAAATGCCAGAAGATCTGTCCATGATCCGGAATATGAATTGTTAGATACAGGTCGGTTGTCATTCTAACATGATTTGAAAACTTGTTGAAAGAAATAAGCCTGCCTAAAATCAGTCGATTTGTTTACTTTTGGTTTTGAGAAAGTTCAGTTTTCTTAAAGGCACATTATACTTCAGAAATATATTTTATAGTTGCTCTATATGGCAAATGAGACTTTCATTTGGAAACTGTAACCAAAAACAACAACACCAAAACATAAAAGTTTATAAAAAATAAAAATGGTATTATTTTAGGCATAATGGGCCTTTAAGAACTTGAATTAGAATTATTGGTAGTTCATGAATTAAAGGTTGGGTCCTGTTTTTTCTCAGAATTTCAAAAAAATATAGAATTATAATGATTATTTATACATGTAGGTTTTTTCTTTACAATAAATCTTGTCTTGTATTCTTTGAAAATTTACAATCTCTTACATTTCTAGTCTTGTCTGCTGAAGGACAATAGCGCTGATATTGTATATATGATTAAAATTGATTGAAGTTTATATGTTTATATGATAAAACAATAAAAAAATGTAGCAAGTTTCTTGGAACTTATTTTTCATAACTGTTCTTCTGTTAAACCCCCTAATTATAATAACCCCCTGTTTATTTCAGGCGTATTTAACGAAAGCCGTTACTTTGATGTAGTGGCTGAATATTGTAAAGGAACTCCGAATGATATTCTTGGACGATTTACTATAATAAACAGAGGTCCCGACCGGGCCACCATACATGTTCTCCCAACACTGTGGTACAGAAATAGCTGGGACTGGGGAGACGATTGTGACGTAAGTAATGTCCGTGCTAGATCGGGTGTTTCCGTACATATTCGGCTGTTTTCGCATGCTTCATAAATGCCAGATGTCAAAAAAAATCTTTAATTTTTTTTCTTTTTGATAATTCTGTCAGCACATAAACGTGTGCTATTTTTTTCAGTTGATAATTATTTGAATTATGATTTAAGACTTGTCATAGCTCGTGAAAATATGGTATTTACCGGCATTTTTCATGTCTTAATTAAATCAAAAATACGTTGATATCAACATTAAATCTTTTTCATTCATTGATTTTCAAATACATGTACTTACATTTTGTAAATTTTATACGAAAATAAACGAACTTTGCCAAGCTATAAAAATTTTGGTCGGTGTCACTGAGAAAAAAAATTGTAAAAAATCGTCATCATAAAAAGCTTGTGTTTATTGTGTCTGCATTATTTTGCCTTACTGACTATTACGGTAGGAGGTCATTTTGCAGAGTGTATAAAATGGTCATTTAACGACAGCTTTCTAATTTGTTTGGCAGGACATTTTCGGATCCAGGAGTATTCAATCACTGAGATGAAATAATGTTCTCCTCATTTACATTTCTTATAGACTAATTAAGTCCCTCTGTCTCGTGCCGTTATTCCGAAACCCGCGAAAGAAGGAAAGTAAAGTCATTAACTACAAGTCACCTTTTTAATTAACTATACTGTTAAAAATATCTGTCATGGTAATATATAAGACTTTGACATGTCGAGTCTGAAAAACAAACGTGTCCATTAGCCTAATAGCAAGATTATCATAAATTATGAATTGAGTTTGTTCGTTTGTCGTGAATACTTAATGACGTAATGTCTACAACAATATATCTTCTTCTCCTATATGAAAGTTTTCAATAACGATAGACTTTGATGATAAAGTGAGTGAAATATTGTAAAAACATTGCATATCACCATTAATAAGCATATCCCCATCAATACACCCATACTGATGATAATTTTTTATGAATCTGTAAAGAATGATTACAGAAACTGAACAAATAAAGAAATATTATAGGTATCGCCTTAAATATGTGTCAATTGCAAAACAGCCCTTACTCCGTGGGTGATAGGGTTTTAGGTGTTTCATAGAAATATAGTTCATCCTCTGGAGAGTGGCCCTCTCAAGAGAAATCACCTCCTTGCGACAACAGTATCAATAATACTCAAAGTAAGGCTTCACAATAAATTTATACCTGTCTAAAACAATCCACTCACCAACTCACTCGATCCACGACCAAAAATCTTTGTCCTCCATGATGGTTGGTATGCCTAGGTTTTACTGTAGTAATTTCATGAAAGCGTAACATAACCTTTTTTATTTCTTCTGTAAGATTGTCTTAAAATATCGTGTTGACTGTTATATGAAGATCATTTTTATTTCTTTTTTTTATATTTTCGTTAATTGTTTTAAAAATATATTATTTTTCTTTCAGAATTCAGTTGAAGTTAAACCAATGGTACAACATTTAAATAAAGATCCCGCAGGCATGGTGAGATGTGAACATCCTACATTAGGTATATATATAATTGAGCCGCGTCACGACAAAACCAACATAGTGCGTTTTCGACCAGCATGCATCTGCGCAGTCTGATCAGGATCAATGCTGTTCGCTTACAAACCATATTACACGTAGTGAAACTGATAGCGAACAGCATTGATTCTGATCAGACTGCGCGGATGCACAGGCTGGTCTCGATCCATGCTGGTCGCAAACCCACTATGTTGGTTTTGTCGTGACACTGCTCTTATATAGTAATACTCTGTTTAAATATTGTAAGTGTTTTAATCATGATGTGGAAGATCGAATAAAATAGAATTTCAAGAATAAAAAAGCATTTCACTATGTTTTTTAATTTACGTTTTTTTCATAGATAACTTTTGTAATGTTACAATAAAAAAAAATCTGTAAAACATTGAAGGAGAGTCCCAACAGAGAGCAAGATTAAACAGTATGGACAGATACGTTGAAGAATTAGAACCGGTACACAGGGGTACAGATAATTTGTTCAATCTTGGTGGGCATACTGTCAACGGTTATGATGAAGGTAATTTCTTTTTATTTGGTTTAAGGATTGTCAATTTACAGATATACTTCCTAGCTTTACTGATGGAAAAAGACAGTTGAACACAGGATTAGCAGCACGTGTTTGCACAGGCGTGCCAGCGTAATAGTTTCACGGAAAGGTATTCAAACTTCCGACGAGATTCAAACCTTCAGCGGCATTTGCTATGATAAAAGTGAACCCTAATAGGAATTAGCACTAGCGTATAAAATATTCACATATGTTTTTTATTACCACATTAACTTTATGTAAATGCAGTTCTGAGATAAAGATATTAAATTAAACAACTGGAAGTATTGAAAGACTGTATATAAATACAAAACGGCTGATCCATAAATGTCGTCTGTGTCACGAGACCGAAGAATAACACATTTCACTCGATTTTTATACATGTATAATGTTTTCATTTTGCCAACGATCTCTCATTTTCCCTGCAAATGAACATCGATTACAATTTGAAAGCGAGGGACTATTTTTTTCTGAATGAGTACTTTTACTGTGATTTTATCTTCAATTTTTACAGGGATATTTCGTATGGAATATGGACCACACCCTAAAGGAGAAGAGGTACCATTACTGTTTACAGACAATGAGACGAACTACATGAAATTGTATGGAGTTAAAAATAGATCAAAATATCAGAAGGATGCATTTCATGACTATGTTATAAATGGTTTGTAAAAATTGTGGGCTTTTTACTTGTTTTTTTGCTTTTTTGTTTGGTTGTTATTTTTGTGTTACACTCTTAATTTCTTGGAAATGATAATAGTGACAATGACTACTTAATTTTAAGAAATTTCTGTTGATGCTTTTTCTATTTTATTTTTTTAACTCCCAATATTCACTGTTTAAATAATAATTTTCTTTACCCATAGTTATGCTCGTTTCATTTTTATATGCCGGAAAGAATTTCGGGCATATTATGTTATAACCCCTGGCGTCCATCCGTCCGTTCGTCTGTCTGTCCGTTCGTTAGCAATTTGGTTTCCGGAGCATAACTTAATTAAGTTCCATTTGGCCCACAATATTCAAACTTCATATGATGATTGTCCATTCTGTGTAGAAGACCCGTCTCCGTGGTCGAGGGGTTAGAGTCGATGACTTCTAATCCAGTTACCTCTCTGGCATGGGTTCGATCCCCGGGAGAGTTTTTTTGTAGTTGAGCGCGGAGGAAGGTAGTCTAGTACTGGTGTAACTTTCCAGGAACAATGGTTAGGAAACTACCCGCCTATATGACTGAAATACTGTTGGAAAAAGGCGTTAAATGAAACATAAAAAACAAACAAACAAAGTAGAAGACCCCTATTGATTTTGGGGTCACAAGGTCAAAGGTCAAGGTCACTATTAACTTAAAACTGAAAACAGTTTCCGGAGCATACCTTAAGTTCCATTTGGCCCACAATATTCAAACTTCATTGGGTAGAAGACCCTTATTGATTTTGGGGTCACAAGGTCAAAGGTCAAGGTCACTACCACCTTTAAACTTAAAACAGTTTCCGGAGCATAACTTTAGTTCCATTTGGCCCACAATATTCAACTTCATAGGAGGATTGCTATTTGAGGGAGGTAATACTTTATTTAATTCCCATGTCTTACGTATGCTTCATCCTTACTATAAAAACAAAACACTTTAGGGCATATAATGCTCCGCTTAGCGGTGCTCTTGTTTGTTTTGTGTGTTTCTCTGAAATTCTGATTGACAATGACACTTTCTTGTGAAGGTATGAAAGAAAAAGTAAATCCTAAAAACTTCGGAACAAAATGTGCCGGCCATTACGTCCTTGACCTTGAACCTGGAGAGGAGGCTGTCATCAAAGTGAGGCTGTATCAAAGTGGTGAGTCACCACCACAACAACAGACATTTGCACCAAACTGGTTCGACCGAGTATTTGAGCAAAGAATTGTGGAGGCAGACTTGTTTTATGATGAGGTTAGTTTGGGCAATCTTTATTTAATAATATACCTAATGTGTATGCTCTCTTGAAAGAAATGGTCCTGTGTTGGTACCACATAAGGTCAAGGTCACATATGGTAACATTAGATTGCTTACACTTTATTTTATGCTGCAGCCTTTTTACCAACGTCTCAAATTTGGAAGGAACATACCTCACTCAAGTGGCCCTTTTAGTGTCGGTGCAGTTTGTGATCTCTGAGTTCAAGTTTTTTTGCCTGATAAACTTTTTGTCAAGTTAAATGTTTTCCAACTTCATCCACTAGCAAAGACATGCCAATTTTCATTTTTCTCAATAGCAAAAGGTTATGACTCTGTCAAGCTATACATTTATTTATTTATTGTTCTTCCATAACTGAGTGGATGGGCAAACCTATTATGATTTGTTACGGGTAAGAATGTGGGCCGTGGGCACTTGTGTTTACCAAACGCTCTTGATTGTAACTGTTCATATGACATTTTACTGATTACTTTATCAGATGAGTATGCTTATTCATAATAAAATATGAGCCGCGTCACGACAAAACCAACATAATGGGTTTGCGACCAGCATTGATCCAGACCAGCCTGCGCATCCACACAGTCTGATCAGGATCCATGCTGTTCGCTTACAAACCCTATTACAAGTAGAGAAACTGATAGCGAACAGCATGGATCCTGATCAGACTGCGCGGATGCGCAGTCTGGTCTGGATCCATGCTGGTCGCAAACCCATAATGTTGGTTTTGTCATGACGCGGCTCATATGATATTTATTTCTAAGGTAATTCCAAGCAGGGGTAAACAAGAACGGTTGATAGCGAGACAGGCGTATGCTGGCCTATTGTGGACGAAACAGTTCTATTACTACATACAAAAAGGTTCGAAATTATAACGATTTTGTCATATTAAAAGCCCATAATGCCTCAGAATTTTTTTTCCTCAAAAAGTTTATATTTGTGGTATACTTCAAAACTTTACAATAAGTTGCTCATTGGCCAATTACTAGTATCTAAACCATCTTCAGGTCAAAATTCTACTATGTTTACATAATGCTTCTTTTATGACAAATTATTTCACATTCGTCGCTACTTTTTTAAGGTTACAAGCATCTAACATGCTCTAAAACTATTATGTCATAAAACGTGATAAAATTGATGTTCGACCTTTTTTAAAAAGTAAAAAATAAGTCATTTCTAAGACATATTGTGCCAATAAATCAATGAACATTATTAATTCATAGCTCAATATAAGTTCTAAAGGAAACGTGTCCATCTGTAGAGAGTAATTAATGGAACTAAAGTTTTCCAATAAATTCTATAATTTCTATTTATTCTATGATTTACAGCATCTGGGCCGTAAGAAAATATTTTGGATTTGGATCAAATAATTATAACTTTTTCTATTATGTATGAAATTTACAGTAATCTTTTTTAAAAATCAGAAATGATTTGTTTAATTTAATTTTTTAAATATTTTAACAAAATTGCTCTTTTTGGGGGATGACTACATTTACATTTTCGTATACAAAGCTAGTTTAATAATAACTTGATCAAAATAAGGACGATAATTAGGATCAAGAATCATATATCTGAGACCAATGATTAAGAAACGGTTATAAAATTTCACCATTCCTTATAATTTCAAGTTACCATTCAATGTTTCCCAATTGGTATTTTGTTCGATTCATGGTAACAATGCCCATACGCACTTTGCTTCGGGATAAAAACCCTTTTGAGAGGTTACAAGAACTCAAATTTGATTGAATGTAACGGTTTTTAACGTCAATGTCTCGATTCTAAAAACGTCATTTTCGCACGTTGTTTTATCCCAAAACAAATTGCCTTTGACAATGCCCTTTCTTTTCAACATTCTTACTGTTTAGAATGTTCGGTTTTTCACCATCATCATCATCATCATTATCATAACTACCACTACCATAACCATAATCATCATCATCTTTATCATCATCATCATCATCATCAACATCATAATCATCATCATCATCACTACCACCATCATCATTATCATAATCATTATTTCTATGATGATTATTATGATGATGAAGATGATGAATATAATTATTATTATTATTATAGAATGGCTTAATGGAGACGAGACTCAACCTCTGCCACCAGAAACAAGAAAGAAATGGGGACGTAACCGAGACTGGAAACATTTATTTAACAGAGATATTCTTTCTGTACCAGATAAATGGGAGTATCCATGGGTAATTTTTATAAAATATAGTATTTATACATAAGGCAATATAAAAAGACTGTCATAATTATTAAAAGTAAATAATAAAGAGTTGTCACCCGTTGTTATTGTTCTTATTTTTCTTATCTCTTACAATTCTTATAACGCATCACGTTGATATGTTCATTGAAGACCAAAATGTCAGGAAAAAAATAAGTTGTTCTTTATTCAATAATTTGTGGAAATAAAAAAAGGATTCATATTATACATTTGTATATAGAAACAACAAAACTCTCCTAAAATAATTTTAAAGTAAAACAGTAAAAATAATAGCGCTAAGTAATATCGATGGCAATTTTAATACAACCCTTTTTCTGTTCACATATTTTAACATAAACTTTCTATTTATATGTATGTTTTTATGTATGTACCAGCAGAAACATATCAAGAAACGTATCTATCTATATTATTATATTTTTTATATAATAGTACGCATCTTGGGACCTTGCCTTCCACATGATTCCAATGTCTATGATAGATATACAGTTTGCCAAGTCACAGTTAGTCCTTCTTCTCAGAGAGTGGTACATGCATCCAAATGGACAGGTTTGTTATTTGTTCTTTGTCAATCATACAGTAACGGCTAGGTCAATTACCTCTGGTACTTTTCAATGCTTTTATAATTTTAGGCTATTTGTTATCAACATATCAAGCATTTTAATATTCTGAGATACTTTTTGATTTAACTTGCTATTTTGCCGCTTTCATGTTTTTAACTCAATTTTAACAACTTCTTATTGTGGACGGATTTATATGTGAGGGTGTAAAAGAAACAAGCACGGTGAATGAAATCTTTAATGATAATTTCTTGAAAAGAGTTTTTTCTGTCTTTATTTACAGATTCCAGCGTATGAATTTTCATTCGATGACGTCAATCCGCCGGTACATGCGTACGCAGTACTCAAAGTGTTCAAAGCTTCCGGGTTAAAGGGCACACGTGACGTGCAATTTTTAGCACGTTGTTTCCACAAATTAGTTCTTAACTTTACATGGTAGGAACATTTTTAATCTACTTTTTTGTCAAAAGTAGTAAAATAATAATAAATACTTATATATTACAATATATTTTAATATTGTAGATCTATATGTGATATAAAATTAAATCAGGAAGGTAAATTTGATAAAAGAGATCTTTAAATATAAAACAGTAACTGATGTGATGATAACCTGTTTTTTTGTGGGGTTTTTTTGTTGTTGTTGTTGTTTCTATTTTTGAACATGAACTTTTCATGTCTTTATATGATATCTATAACTAAGTATGCAATAAAAATTACCCTATTGAAGTCGCAACTAAGGTCCTCTTGGGCTCCTGGCCGCTGGTCCTTGTTGCTAGGTCGTCTGGGGTTGCGTTAATTTAACGCCGCATTTCCTTGTTTGTTTTGTTTATAATATTTCGATATTTTTTTACTGTTTGGAAATTAATATATATAACATTGTTATTGAAGGTGGATAAATCGTAAAGACGTTGAAGGCAAGAATATATTTTCTGGTGGTTTTCTGGGGTTAGATAATATAGGGGTGTTTGACAGATCAAAACCGTTACCCACAGGTGGATTTTTAGCCCAGGTAGGTTCAGCCATGTTCATAGATATATTTTAGGAAGGTGATATTTTTGAAAGTAAGATCACTTCTTCAAAAAATGATTAAATATCTCTTGGTATTGGTAAAGTAAAAGACCCAGAATAATTTCATTGACATCAGTACTGGTAAATGAAAGGAACTCCAAAAGCGTAAACAAAGAAAAAGATATTAGCCAGGGCATCTAAAACTGAAAATATGCAAACTAAAATTCAAAAATATGCAGAATTGAATTGTAAAAAGATTTTTTTGCAATTCTAAACCTAATTTGAGCATAAAGCATTTAACTCTTTCTTTTCGGTTATTTTACGCAATAAAAATAATAATGCAGGAAAAGGGAGTGAGCAAAATTTCGGCACAAGTTATTGGTTCATACTTTTTTTAGAAAATGGTACCTACAGGTGGATTTTTAGCCCAGGTAGGTTCAGCCATGTTCATAAATAGATTTTAGGAGGTTGATATTTTTGAAAGTAAGATCACTTCTTCAAGTGAGCAAAATTACGGCGCAAGTTTTGGGTTCATGCTTTTTCAGAAAATGGTAAACAAATAAAAAAAGTTCCCTTCGTTTATGTAAAAAAAAATATGTGGAAAGACGAGAAACACGCAACGTTTTACGAGTACTATTGAAGTAATGAATAATTTGAAATAAGTTGTTTATTTCAAAGTTTCCATTGTTTTATTGTTTTATTATAAAGTGTAGTAATTATCACTATGTGTAAATATAACGTTGTAGGCGGATGCAACAGCATGGATGGGATTTTTCTGTTCTATAATGTTAGAGATTAGCTTGATACTGGCACAGCGGGAACCAATATACCAGGACATGGCCAGCAAGTTCTTCGAGCATTTTGTTGCTATCACAGACGCCATGAATAATGTAGATGAAGTTGGTAAGAGTGAGAATGTTGATGTGAAATTTGTCTTGTTATATATAGTGTCATCGGAAACATATAAAATGTTATGCCAGTTATAGACATGTTTTATTATCTTTATTTTAAAATTCTTGATGCGATGTCTGTCTTTCACTTAAGAGAAAACAATAACGATTTCTTGTAAAGATTTTATCCCACGTCGAATTAGTGTCGGGGTAAATGTTTTGGCGCTGTCCGTTCGTCTGTGCGCACATATCAGTTGTCTCGGACTACAACTTTGCAACGGTTAAAATTTAAAAAATATATATGCTAGTGTTTTTACCACTTTAGTTGACACGTTTTGAACCCGTGAAATAATCGAAAATATTGTAAGGGATTCCCTTTATACCAGCAGAATAAGCTGTAACTACCATATTGAAATATAGCATTGTATTCTTTTTGGATCTACCTATCATTTATGTTGTGTTTTTTTTTCAACAGAACAGGCATGAAACTATTTGATTCGATTTATCTGTTTTTTCAATTACATGTTTTGCAAAAAATCTTCATTTTTCTCAATATTGTTACTATTTCTGTACTAAAGGATTGTTGGACGTATTGTTACTATTTTTGTACTAAAGGATTATGGGATAAAGAGGACGGGTTTTACTATGATCACGTGAGGAACAATCATTGTAGTCAACCAGTCAAAATTAAATCTATGGTTGGGATGGTTCCGTTGTTCTGTACGCTGGTACTCAAAGACTCGGACTTTGTAAGACATCCAGGATTTGCTAAGAGGACAAAGTGGTTCCTGGACAATAGGAAAGACTTAAAGAAATCGGTAAACAGATTTTTTTCTTACAATCACGCTTATATTGTTACATAATTATTTTATTATTAATAAATCATTATACATATACATTAATCATTGAGATTATGATCATATTAAAATATAATCGTGTGTATCATCATGTGCATCTCACTCTGAAATAATATCGACAAGTGTTGTTTTCTTGACATAGATTATATTCATTGTGTCAGAACGATTGATGTGCGTCATAAAGCTTACTTACATCAGAATAAATTCTGTATAAACCAAAGAGGAGATGTTCTTAAATCTTTAAAAGTGTTTTCCGTCTTGCTAAAAATAAGTTACAAATTATTATTTGTTTTTGAAACTGAGCATTTTAGAAATATAATGTAGAAATAAACAGGCACATACCGTTTTTGATGATTTATTTTCTTACAAATACAAAAAAGTACAACAAAACAATAGTCTGTTGACATTGTACTGTTAACATTGTACTCGTATATGAAGGTTACGTCATTTTTAAATAAGAAATTGGAGACATTTCTCGATTATCATCACCCGTATGATTATGATCTTTGCATTTTGGTAGATTTCACTAATGAGTCGAGGGACACACCAGGAGGGCTCAATCTTACTGTCAGTATTAAACAAAGAAAGGCTTCTACAGATTTTAAAACATATGTTAGACGAGAAACAGTTCCTGTCACCACACGGCATAAGATCACTGTCCAAGGTAAGAAACACAAAACATCATTATCTAGATTTTAATGGAAGCAATTCCAAGGCATACCAGTTGAAATTTTTCTGCTCATTTTCGGAGGAATGTTATTAACCATGTGTCTTTTCGCACTTCCATTTCCGGCTGGATGCCGATGGGCTAATGGCCGAGGTCAGCGAGTCTAAAATGTATTTGGCTTGTGTTTTGTGTGTGATTGTTTGGCAATATTTCTTTGAGCTGATAATTAAAGCGTTGGAGGTTTAAGAGGATCACATCTTAATTTTCTAGATTAAGGCAGCAATTCAGATACCTAGTTGATAAAATTTTTTCTATGCTTTTGATACCATTATAAGTTAATTATAGGTAATCTGCGAGACTTTCCAAATATCAACCTCACATAGTGCTCACTTGATGATTCTGTTTTTATCTTATCGTTTTATTTTGTTGATAAATACTATGTTTATTTTGTATTTAAGGAACATGAAGAACATCCATACTATTTACATATTGGAGGTTACACCTATAGTGTAAGCTATGAACCTGGGGAGTCGAGGACTAAATTGTTCGGTGGTAATAGTAATTGGAGAGGTCCAATTTGGCTACCAAGTGAGTACAAACATTTGTTTGTTATACTAGTTTTAATGTGTCTGTTTTATTTGGTATTTCTTTAATTTTGTATTAAATGCGTAGCTTATGTCTTTAGTGTAACAGAATCGAATAGTTGTGGCAAGTAAATTCCCGGTATACTAAATACACAATCTTCTACATGATGCCCAGTGACTGTAACTAGATTGAAAATATAAAATAACTTATCATATTACAATAGACTTGAGTCTAAATGTATGAATTCTTTAACCGTGTATTTAACATTAAACCGTGTTTTACTTGCTTTAAGTCTCATGCTTATTTATAAATAATGTGATGTAATTATGTATAGCTTTTAAAGGCACATTTCGCCTCATAAACAAATAAATGTTTACTTCTTTAAAAAGAGCAAACATGAATTTTATAATGCTTTAATAATGGTTGTAGAGAATGTTAGCTTGTTTTTTGAAGGAATGTGAAATAATTTGTCATAAAAGTAGCAAAATGTAAACCAATGTTTTATTTTAACTTCAATACAAAATACTAATTCACTATCACTATAACTGTACTTTTTGCCAAAAAGCAACAGGTAAAAAAGATGGTTCTGGTAATTGGCCAATGCTTACTTGTTTTGATACTATAAAAATAAAAGAAAATTAGAAAGCTTTTGAGAAATAAAGATAAAAAAATTTCTGAGGCATAATCGGCCTTTAAGTTCAACTTTTTATTCCTTATTTTTCAGTGAACTATCTCATTATTGAGAATCTTCATAGGTTTGATTATTTTTATGGCGAAGATTTAAAAGTTGAATGTCCGACTGGTTCTGGTAACTTTATGAGACTTAAATCCGTTGCTAGGGAACTTGAAACCCGACTAATCAATCTGTTTAGACCGGACCCGAGGGGTTACCGCCCTTGTCATGGTAATTTCTTTATTTCCAATTTCTTTTATTATAAATTTGTATTTGATTTAAGTATACATGTATTTGCCCTTATTATATTAACAAACATTGGCTTTCTTCGTTTTCTGATAAAAATAGTTTGTACACATTGATTTTTATATTTTCATATTTGATGTTTACACTTGTAATGTTACAAAAATAGTTGATCAAAAATTGTAGTGCTTTTATTTTTTATATCCCTGCACATATCTTTCTTGATATTATAGCATCAGGTTTAGATATTCTCGATTTTCTCCTATTACGTTCATGTTATTCCTGTTTCTTTAAAATGTTAGATAACTCAGTATTATTATTTGACAGGTAAATCAGAGTTGTATGCCAAAGATCCTAACTTCAAGAATTTATGCCTGTTCTATGAATATTTTGATGGGGACAACGGTAGGGGATGTGGAGCAAGGTGTGTGCCTTTCTTTTAAAATATTTCAATCTTTAGTTGACGCAAATAACTACTTGCACTGGCCATTAATTTAGAAACTTAGAGCTAGACAGACTGTAAATCCAGTAAAAACTAAAACATTGTGTAGAGCTACATGTATATACATGTATAATGCACACCCTTTTCGTGCATTATTGTCTGCAGAAGCATGAGGACGCATTATTTAGCGCCCGAGCCCGCATGATTTAATAGGTCCGAGGGCTATATGGGCTGTCATTGCATTTAGCTGTTTTTACATTGCGCCCTGACTTACGCATAGCATGTGCCTCAACGGCGCGTGGTCACGCGAATCTGTCCGCTTACTTTTTGTTCTCCGTTAATTTATATATACCTGCATGCGCATAATAGTTTAACCCTAAGCTTGATGACGTCAAATGATTTCAAGCCACGTTATCATGGTCTACACTATTCGCTATTCGGTATCTAATGAACTGATAAATGGTCTGGTCCAAATTGAAAGATGGACAAGTCCATTCAAGATATTTAGTGTGGCAGTGTTATATTTAAAACTAATGTTGTGATTTTGTTTTAGCCACCAGACTGGTTGGACTGCTCTCATTACAAAGTTACTAGAGAAGGTAAAGAAGGACGAAGATGAAAGCCAGGACAGTCTGGATAGTTGGGAGAGTTGAAATTTTCTTGTGTCTTCTCGTGCCTTCTCGTGACCTTTCGTGCTCAACGTTCTTTCAGCGTTCCGCAAGCAGTATGATGTCTATTTTTGTTAATTGAGTAACATTGTTGTTTTGAAAACATGAAATGCTTTTTCAAACATTTCTACATTTATTATTCCATGGCTTATGTGCTTCAGTATTTTCTTTTAAATGTTTATTATTGTGGCAGTAAAAATGTGTGTTCTCTTTATTCAACTGCTTTAAATATTTGGATATTTATGGGTTTCCTCAAATTTTCTTTACAGTTAAAACATACTCTAAATAAAGCGGGTATTCGACTTTAACCTCAGTTCACAAAAAAAAACAACATGTTTTAAACATCATTTAATGGATTTTAAATCCGTTATGTTCAGTATCTGCGGGTATATGAAGATGTATTGCTTATACGTTTGCAACGATGATTTTGATTGGACAATGGAAATATACACAGCTGTTGCAAATCTTTTTGACTTTTATTTATTTGGTCAAAGAAAGCACTTGCGCATTATGATAAATTCTTTATAAAGACTTTTGACAGATTATATGACCTTTGTTGCATAATATTACCATTAAAAATGGACCATATTATTATTGTATCAAAAAAGGTCAATAACTTACACTGTAAATATATATAGCATACCAAAAATACAAAGTTTCTCATGATGCTTTCCTGTTTCTAAAATTTGTTTTTAGGTGTTACTTAAGTTAAAACTTGATAACATGTAATAAATTGTTCCTGTTTGATTTTCGGGTTATCATGTATTGTTATTAAATATGTACACTATATTGTCAAATTAGGCTTTCTAAGAAAGCTCCTTTAGTATTTTGAATGTTAAAATTGTAAAACGGACTTGTCACGCTGTGACCTTGAACCTGTCCTTTATTTATATGAGGGATTTTGCTTTCATACTAGAATTGTATTAAGTTTATTTTAGAATTAAACTTAATTTGTACTAAAATGCTAAAAGTAGGCAGACGACACGGCCACACATAAAAAATGTTTGTTTGCAGTAACGCCACCGACTCACGAAATTTGCCCCTACGCAATTCTTTTTTCTGGTTCGGAGAAAAAATTTCTCGTCGCCTAAAATAACGCTTTATTTTCGTTCTTTTAAAATCCTTTTTTTTTATCATTTTTGGGTATAAAACGTTGTCAGACTGAAATTCGATCTAGACTTACCTGTTTCAACGACTGTTATATAGTTGTAGCTGTTGATACAATACTGTTACTTTTATATCCGAGATATTTTTATATTTTCAAAATCATAGAACTTTGAAAACGTGATATTTTAAAATAGAAAGTTACCGGCTGCCAATATGATGCATGAATGTATTTGATGCACTTGTCGTCTGCATTATCTCTGTAAATAATTCTTGAAAGATGTCAACATATTAGTTTTTGTTGACAGTTTCTCTGCCAAATACGTGCCATTTTGTTAAATCAGCCTGCCTGAAGATTCATGATAATTTTCATGAAAAAAAGGTTTTGAAAATTTAAGTAAGATATTGTGAAGTGAACGAAGAAAGTAATTTACACATTGCAAAGACCCTTACAATCCAAGTTAATTACCAAAAATAAACAAGGTCAAAATATGCAAAAATAGCCATTACTGCGTTATTCACGCAGTAAAAATATGGTGATAAATACTTCAAAAACGGTCGTTAAACGCACATAACATGTATATTATTACTAGAATCTTGAATCTTTCTTCAAATCTTAGTACAATTTTCTCAAGTATCATTTTCTTAAAATATTTGGCTCATTTGGAGGCATGTAGTTTTAAAGTGTCTTAGCACTTTTACTCCCTATTTGGCCAACGTTATGATGACATTTAATGTTATAGATTTTTTTCTGTGATCTTGATAAATGAAGGATCGAAGCACAGTTTGACTTATATTTAGATTATTTAAAAAAAAAGCTAAAATGTGCCTTATAGGTTCTATAACTAGTATTAGTTGAAATAAAAGAAATATTGCCTTTCTTTGATATCTTTCATATAAAACAGAGCAAAAAGAAATCTCTGAAGAACGTCCGAAACGGTACATTTAAAAATGTTGCAAACTCAGTTGGATAGAGCCTGTTCATGGACGGTACAGGAAAGTGCAAGTTACTGTCCACACCAAACACGGTTATGTTGAAATTTTATGGGATGCAAAACTAACGATAAAACATTGTAAATATATTAATAAACTAGCTGTTACGTATACTAGTCAATGTTTTTAAATACATAAACATTTAATTTGATGTCCAAATGTACTGGTTTATTAAGCCCTTCGAAAAGTTATTTTTCAAAAACTTTTGATTTTTAGTGTTCTGTCACCATTTCAGGAGAAAATGTAATCGCTGGAAATATACAATTGAAACTAATTATGCTGTTTTGCACATCAATATAGTTATAGTGGTTAAGTATTTTGTATGAAACATAAAATACCACTGTTTTAAGTTTTGAAATTTTATGAGAAATTATTTTACATTTAACACTTCTCTCTTCATATAATAACACCTCGCTTGCAAATAATTTTATTATCAGAATATTATTTAAAACATGGGTTTGCCTTTTTATTAAGAGGAACGTCGTATTCATTATGAGGTGTAATGAGCCTTTAAACATTTCTGGAATATAAAATTGTTTTATCTGTCAGAATCAAATTATTTTAGCAGGGGTTCATGTATGAATTGTTAAAAGAGAAGTCGGTTATAAACTTTATTTATAAGTTCAAATACACGAAAGTTTCGTGCTAATTCTTTACCGCTCACCAATGCACATAGCAGAAGCCATAGCCGGTCTTTCGTACCTTAAAATATTTTCATTTTATATTTTCTTTAGTGCACAAGAAATGGAGGGCAGATTTTATTTCGAAATCCTCAAAGCTTGAATAAAGTACAAAATAAAATAGAATCAAATTAATGAGAATATTTTTTTATATATATCTGTGTTCACAAAACTATGTTTGTATTTTCACCATTATGTATTATTATTTTGAATATTATTTTAATGCAACCGTTGTAAGAACAATTGTTAATGTTTCCTTGTTATGTTTATATACAGAAATATGTGCCATATTACTTAAAGACATTAAAACGAAGGTACTTAATAAATGTGCTTGTTATTTTATTTGTACCACATGAGCTTTCCGCTCACTGTATCCCGTCCGTCCGATGGAAAAATTCGATCTATATTTTTGTACCAATGGAACAGTGGCTTCTAGACTTGATTGAACTATAAAGTAGTTTTTAAGTCTTGTAAACAATTATTGTCTAAATTTCATTTTGCGTAAGTATTCGACAGTGAAGCGTTTATTTTCATTTTGACTAAACGTGATGATTTAATCTTTAGTTGCTAGTGGCAACCGAGTATGCCCCAGCGATCAGTGCTGGCCTAATGTCGTCTGATCGTGGTTCTTCACTGTTTGGTTTTCAGTCGGTATTTATTTTGGAATTTTCGTTTTATGTGATGAAATTTTATTTTAGATTCACACTTGACAAGTTCTTTTAAGATGCTAGCATGGTAAGAGAATTATTCCCGCCATTTTATCGAGAGCCATGCAAATTCTTGAACTAAATTGCTTACATACACAATAAACAGTTAAAATCAAATAGATACTAAATACATTTTCTCTGAAAACGTTTTGGACTTTCAATTTGAAATTGTAAATGGTTTTAGAACTACATTGCTGTTGAAATCAGTCGATTAAAGTGACATTCTAGTGTAAAATATCAGTGAACAGGTAAAAAAAATAACATGAAATGTGTTCAATTCTATATTTTACCAAGAATTCATGTGACCAATGACACTTTAAGTACATATTATCCAGAATGTATCGTGTTTTTGTTTTTTGTTTGTTTTTTTTTTCTTAAAAAAGAGTGACAGTCTTTTTATTAATAAGGTAGTTTTTATATTGCATCGTTTACATTTTTCATTATCAAATACTGATCAATCAGCATTATAATACTAGTAGTCAATCTTTTCAAAATATATTACTACTGTAACTCAATTGGACAGCAAAAAGATGTGAGCATAATGTCATAATTTTAGATATTAAATCTCATTCTTACACAATTGTTCTTCATTGTTGTTTAGAGTTAGGTATCATAGATTTATAATAAGAGTATCTTATTTATTGACTTGAAAGAACATTTGATATAAATTTTCTATCTTTAGACCCGTGTTATAGCCATGGTTCCCAAAATCCACGACGACGTCTAGGATCTGCGCGGCGGTCTGCTCTTATATATGGACAGGGAACCATGCCTTTCCGGTAATACTCTATCCGTTGTAACATAGTTTGGACTTTTTCCGGATACAAGTCCGACAACTCTGTAGTTTCCTCCGGGTCATTAGCTATATTATACAGCCATACATTGGTGGTAAAATTTCTGTCTGGTCGTCTTGGTGTCGTTGAACCTGTTATATCAACGTAAAATATGTACAGTAAATAAGAAAGAATTTTACAATGTTTTGTGAGACAGGTTGGTAATAAGGACGACTTTTATGTCATTATCACACCACTGCTCAATCAAGAAAAACAACAACAAACAACAACAACGCAAAATCAGTCGACGTCATTATACAAGACACAGTAGAGGTCAAGTGTGAATATTTGTCTTGGTTTGATATTGTCTTACACCTCTCAGGGAAAGTTAAAATTCCACTTCCAACGCTTACCTAGCTACATCTTGAACTGGTGACGCCTTAATACCAATTTACCATGAATTGTAATTTAAGGGGGGTATTTATTGAATGACCAAGTGTCAATTTGTGTCATTTTAACATCAACGAAAATTGTCTGCTATTTGATTAAAAACTTATTCTTTTGGGACCGAAATCGATTAGCGTTCATCGCCAATATAAAGCCAGGCTAGTCAGGACATTATACGGTCTGACTAGACACTATAAAGTTGATAGCTTAATTTTCGTATTTAGATATTGAAATCCTTAAATGGACTATTCCAAATTTTAAGCTAGTCCACCCATTAAAGATTAAGGTATCATAAGCAACATTTTAAAATGAACTGCTGTGCGTATTTCATTTACATATCAAATGGAATACAGTAAAAATCTGTTCCCTGTTCATAAATTTCAATTATTTGAAAGTACAGTAGGAGTTCTTGAGGTTTTTCGCGTCACATATCACGTGGTATGACTACACTTAATACTTGTTAAAATACCTGGGTGTCCTTTCATAAGTTTCCAATCTCCAATCCTAATTGACGCCCTGAATGTTGAATTTAAAACATTATCATACAGTGTGTCTATCCGACGCTTGTTTAATGGTAATATGTCATGAAGAATTTCTGTACGTGGACCTGGCTTTCCATACCTGATTATTGTAAAACATAAAAACAGATAATTAATGGTAATATCTGAGCAATTTGATTCAACAGAACCTTTTTTTTTTAAATATTCGGCACTCTCAAGCACTGTTTAATTTTAACAAATTTGAATAAAGCTTTGTTATATTGTTAAAAATATCAATTCAGCAAGTAAATAGTTTATATTTCATAACTGTTTCATGGTATGTATCTCGATAATGTAATTCTGAGCGATAGGCCGACATTTTACCTTCTTTGGTGGTTTTCATCTTGATGTAGGTGATAAATTCCAGAAATATTTTGTCTTGCAAATGCTTGCCTAAGACATTTTCGATCAAAAACGTAATTAAAATCTACATATTAAAGTAAAAGATAAAAGTAGAAACATTTGCGCTATTTTCGGTATTTTTTTATTCTGACAACCTGTTATTATCATCAGATTCTGTCATTATCAACAAGCCCTGATTATCGGGATGAACAATGTGCTGTTCGGGTACTTCAAACTCACTAGACTATAAGTTTTGTCTTTTTTTTATCACTTTTAAGACTAGACAAGAAATAACTTACATGAGAGTTTCCCATTGGTCATATCCATCCAGCGGTTTCGTACCATTAATAGTACCACCTGCAGCTCTAAGCAATGTCGGGAACCAGTCCGTCACGTGCATAAGTTCATTTGAGACGGTACCAGCCATTTCTTTATTTATCAGTTCACTATGAACGAAACCAGGTACACGTATTCCACCCTCCCACATGTCACATTTCTCTCCCCTTAGAGGAAAATTACTGGCACCAGCTTCATATTTACCACCATTATCTATCATATGATTAAAAAAAATGATTATCTTATAGTTAACATAGTCAATAGCCAACACAGAACTGGTATTTACTTATGTTTATCTTTTATGTTCTATTCTAGAGGTCGACAGCCGATGGAAGAGAAAATAACGTAATTAATAGTTTATCCTGATAACATAATATTACCAGCTATCATATCTTAGAAGATGCTCCAATAGACTGCATGTACATGACTCAATTCAGCGCCTTTTCTCAATTCTGTCCATTAATATCAAACAAACAAAATCAACTGTAAATTTGAAATTAAAAGATAAACACAAAGTTGTATACCCGAGGAAAATATAAGGAGAGTATTGTTCCACATGCCTTTCTTTTTCAAACTCTTAACGATTTGCCCTATACCTTGATCCATACATGTAACCATTCCTGAAACAAACATGATATACGCTTAGTTTATTAATTCTTATCTACATTTTAAACAAAGCAAGAAGTAATTTTTAAAACATAATCGGCCGTGGTAAACATTGTTTAACCGTTACCAATTTTCTTTTTTTTCTTTTTTTTCTCTTTTTTTCTGAATAAAAAAAATGTTGTATTACAATTCCGGCAAATAACGGAATAATGATGGCAAAAAGCCTACGACCGAAAACATTTACTTTTCTAAATTATTTCCATGCCAGATTTATACAAGTAAAATGGTTTCCTGCGGTGAACATTTTTAATGATATAAAGATATTTCATTTAACTATTTTCAACATTAATTGGGGGGAGGGGGGGATAAATAAACGTTTGTAACAGGAATATAGTTGACAATAATCGAACAATATAGAAGAAGGTCTTTGGAAACTGCATGTGACCGTTGAAGACCGGAGAAGGTCGAACATAAAACAATTATTTCTTTTTAAGAAAATGATTTAATAGGCCTACCATTTTATGAATAATTCCGAGCAAAAAACACACAAGTTTACGCAGAAAATATCTCTTTTATTATGGCAGATGCCACTACGAATATTTTAATTTTGTAGACTTTCAGTATAAACAATTTATTGTTTGTAAAATTTGAGATAGATATTAAAGAAACATTGATAATTTTCAAACACATCATTCAAGAAGTTTTTCCACCTTAATCGGTAAAATAATTATAGAAAATTAGAAATATCACGTTATAGATTTTTGTTCTCAATTAGGTATAATTCGGACTAATTCCCTACAGGTAAATCCGTAACGTACCGGCAAACGATTTTTAGCTGGGTTTTCGAAAAGGTCAATTAACCAATCATATACGGTTTAAAGATCACATGCTCCTCCATGTACCGAAATCAGGTCACGTGCTCCTCCATGCCTCAAAAGTTAAACGCGTACCAATACCCTGCGGTCTCCAGACCGCAGGGAATAAAGAACTACCATTTCTTTGAGTTAGAAAATTTCAACTGTATTGATTAGTTTTTAGATATTTTCATATTTTGTAATCAAAATTAGGCAGCCAACGACAATATAGGGTCGATTGCCGAAGGCAAAGTACGTGGACTTTGTTACAACTAAGCACATTATCATCTACGTTACCTATGCCAATAAAACATTTCTAAATATTAGTCTGTAAAGCACTCTAATACAGCGTATCTACCGTTAAAGCACAGTAACAACATCAACAACATCAAAAACTATGTAAATTCCGTGTCGGAAGTATTCTGCTACGTTACTAACATACCTGCGTAAGTTTCCCTGGTTTCATTTACAAAAGGGTTCTTATACATTCTTATGTATTTGTCTGGTACCTGAAGTGGTCCGTGTACTGCTTGGTAAGGTAGGTAAATAAATAATGGCTGAAACAAAATAACGTTAAATGTATTTGTGTATGTCAAGATAAGTAAAGTCTTTCTTTGAAACGCAAAAGTATCATAAGAAATATAAATATTGAGCAGGTTATAAAGCATATTTAACGGTTGTTCGCTTATACTATATATATTCATAATGTTGAGCGAAATTTAGCAGCTACAATTACTTAATGTTTCCAAACTTACCTTGTCTTGATTTTGTTTAGAGATTTACTTTGTCTCAATTCCCATTCTAGGCTTAACTTGTCTAGCTTGATTATGTTTCTAGGCTTACCTTGTCTTGATTATGTTTCTAGATTTACCTTGACTTGATTATGTTTCAAGACTTACCTTGTCTTGATTATGTTTCAAGACTTACCTTGTCTTGATAATGTTTCTAGGCTTACCTTGTCTTGATTATGTTTCTAGATTTACCTTGACTTGATTATGTTTCAAGACTTACCTTGACTTGATTATGTTTCAAGACTTACCTTGTCTTGATTATGTTCCAAGACTTACCTTGTCATGATTATGTTTCAAGACATACCTTGTCATGATTATGTTTCAAGACTTACCTTACTTTGTCTAAATTATGTTTCTAAACTTACATTGTCTTGATTATGTTTCTAGGCTTAACATGTCTGTTTTATGTTTCTAGACTTACCTTGTCTGGTTTATGTTTCTAGACTTACCTTGTCTTGATTATGTTTCTAGATTTACCTTGTCTTGATTATGTTTCTATACTTACCTTGTCTGGATTATGTTTCTAGACTTACCTTGTCTTGATTATGTTTCTATACTTACCTTGTCTTGATTATGTTGCTATACTTACCTTGTATTGATTATGTTTCTATTCTTACCTTGTCTTTATTATGTTTCTATACTTACCTGTCTTGATTATGTTTCAAGACTTACCTTGTCTTGATTATGTTTCTACACTTACCTTGTCTTGATTATGTTTCTATACTTACCTTGTCTTGATTATGTTAATTTACTTACCTTGTCTTGATTATGTTTCTAGACTTACCTTGTCTGGATTATGTTTCAAGACTTACCTTGTCTTGATTATGTTTCTATACTTACCTTGTCTGGATTATGTTTCTATACTTAACTTGTCTGGATTATGTTTCTATACTTACCTTGTCTGGATTATGTTTCTATACTTACCTTGTCTTGATTATGTTTCTATACTTACCTTGTCTGATTATGTTTCAAGACTTACCTTGTCTTGATTATGTTTCTATACTTACCTTGTCTGGATTATGTTTCTATACTTAACTTGTCTGGATAATGTTTCTAGGCTTACCTTGTCTTGATTATGTTTCTAAACTTACCTTGTCTTGATTATGTTTCTAAACTTACCTTGTCTTGATTATGTTTCTATACTTACCTTGTCTTGATTATGTTTCTAGGCCTTACTTATCTCGATTATTATTTCTAGACTTACTTTGTCTTGATAATGTTTCTAGACTTACCTTGTCTTGATTATGTATCTAAACTTACCTTGTCTTGATTATGTATTTAAACTTACCTTGTCTTGATTATGTTTCTAAACTTACCTTGTCTTGATAAAGTTTCTGTACTTACCTTGTCTTGATTATGTTTCTAAACTTACCTTATCTTGATTATGTTTCTATACTTACCTTGTCTTGATTATGTTTCTAAACTTACCTTGTCTTGCTAATGTTTCTAGACTTACCTTGTCTTAATTATGTTTCTATACTTACCTTGTCTTGATTATGTCAATTTACTTACCTTGTCTTGATTATGTTTCTAGACTTACTTTGTCTTGATTATGTTTCTATACTTACCTTGTCTTGATTATGTTTCTATACTTACCTTGTCTTGATTATGTTTCTAGACTTACCTTGTCTTGATTATGTTTCTAGACTTACCTTGTCTGGATTATGTTTCTATACTTACCTTGTCTTGATTATGTTTCTAGACTTACCTTGTCTTGATTATGTTTCTAGACTTACCTTGTCTTGATTATGTTTCTAGACTTACCTTGTCTTGATTATGTTTCTAGACTTACATTGTCTGGATTATGTTTTTAGACTTACCTTGTCTTGATTATGTTTCTAGACTTACGTTTGTCTTGATTATGTTTCTAGACTTACCTTGTCTGGATTATGTTTCTATACTTACCTTGTCTTGATTATGTTTCTATACTTAACTTGTCTTGATTATGTTTCTAGACTTACTTGTCTTGATTATGTTTCTATACTTACCTTGTCTTGATTATGTTTCTAGACTTACCTTGTCTTGATTATGTTTCTATACTTACCTTGTCTTGATTATGTTTCTAGACTTACCTTGTCTTGATTATGTTTCTATACTTACCTTGTCTTGATTATGTTTCTTAGACTTACCTTGTCTTGATTATGTTTCTATACTTACCTTGTCTTGATTATGTTTCTATACTTACCTTGTCTTGATTATGTTTTCTAGACTTACATTGTCTGGATTATGTTTCTAGACTTACATTGTCTGGATTATGTTTCTATACTTACCTTGTCTTGATTATGTTTCTATACTTACCTTGTCTTGATTATGTTTCTAGACTTACATTGTCTGGATTATGTTTCTATACTTACCTTGTCTTGATTATGTTTCTAGACTTACCTTGTCTTGATTATGTTTCTATACTTACCTTGTCTTGATTATGTTTCTAGACTTACCTTGTCTTGATTATGTTTCTATACTTACCTTGTCTTGATTATGTTTCTAGACTTACCTTGTCTTAATTACGTTTCTAGACTTACCTTGTCTTGATTATGTTTCTATACTTACCTTGTCTTGATTATGTTTCTAGACTCACCTTGTCTTGATTATGTTAATTTACTTACCTTGTCTTGATTATGTTTCTATACTTACCTTGTCTTGATTATGTTTCTATACTTACCTTGTCTTGATTATGTTAATTTACTTACCTTGTCTGGATTACGTTTCTTCACATACCTTGTCTGGAATATATTTCTATACTTACCGTGTTACCTTTTCAAGATTATGTTATTTAACTTACTTTCTCCGGGTTATGTTTCTGAATGATTTGTTTAACTTTATTAGTGAAAAGTGTTGTAGAATATGTTCCGTTATATTTGGACATGTCGGCACGTTTATCATTCTCCATCAAGTCGTACCCCTCCATTTTGTTAAACGTCGCTCGATGTGTATAGTGGTCACCATGTCCCGCCAAAAATCCTGTAATTATTCCATATTTATATTTTATAGAATCGTTTAAAATTTATTACCCCCCCCCCTTCCACATCAAAAAGAGAGAAAAACAACATGAAATTATTGAAATCAGCGATATGACAGGACATTCTTTGGTTGATATAAAGTGTCAAAGTTTTCTCGATGGAAGCACAAGTTGATAAAATGATGAGAAAGACTGATAGGTCAAACTTCCGGGCAGACGATACAATCGTACATTAGATATAAATATGATTTATCTATGATACACTTATTTAACAACCCTAGTTATTAAACGCCAAAAAGAACTTGTTATGTTGTGTATCTTTTTGAAAGTAATACTTGAGTAAAATAAGTAATATTTCATCATACTTCTTTCTGTTCGTAATGCGATTGCTGTCCGCATGGGTTAATCCCCGCCAGGGGCAAGCTGTTGTTTATAACTTCCAACACAATCGAACTAAAATAAATAAGTATAAACTAAACTGACTTTCTAAACAGAAAAGATAGTTACCGAAAAAGCTGTCGAAACCCCTATTCGTTGGTAAATAGTTATTTTTGAAATAACCCAAGTGCCATTTCCCGACAATATGAGTCGCATATCCGGTCTCTCTAAGCTTCTCCGCAATAGTTGTCTCCCCTAATGACAAACCCCTTGGACTGGCAGGCCACAATACCCACTGGAACCCTGTATGTATCTGGAATGAATATATAATTTGATGGGAGTTAACTCGGTGTGCTCATACGGGTAGTGTTAAAGGCGACAGTGGGTGGTACAAACCCAATGTCGCCAGTTCGATCAAATGCTTTTCTAATGCAGTCTTTCGGACGGGGCTATTTTAACTGATATCCATTGTGAACTGGTGTTTTACCTCACTTGGTGTGTAAAAGAACTTATTGTTTCTCCTAGAATGGATTTAATGTGTGTTTTACCTCACCTGGTGAGTAAAAGAACTTATTGTTTCTCCTAGAATGGATATAATGTGTTTTTCCGTTACACTCTTGTCCCCATGAAAAATTCTGACGAAATTCTACCATTGAGTAGTTGACCACGTGTTAGGAAACATACTTGATATCTATCAGTGAGTAGCTGACCACGTGTTAGGAAACATACTTGATATCTATCAGTGAGTAGTTGACCACGTGTTAGGAAACATACTTGATATCTATCAGTGAGTAGTTGACCACGTGTTAGGAAACATACTTGATATCTATCAGTGAGTAGCTGACCACGTGTTAGGAAACATACTTGATATCTATCAGTGAGTAGCTGACCACGTGTTAGGAAACATACTTGATATCTATCAGTGAGTAGTTGACCACGTGTTAGGAAACATACTTGATATCTATCAGTGAGTAGTTGACCACGTGTTAGGAAACATACTTGATATCTATCAGTGAGTAGCTGACCACGTGTTAGGAAACATACTTGCTATCTACCAGTGAGTAGCTGACCACGTGTAAGGGAGCATGATACCTATGAAACCTGATTTCTACCAGCTACAGTTAGTAGTTGTACACGTGTTAGGAAACATACCTGATATCTTCCAGTGAGCAGTTTATCACGTGTTAGGAAACATACCTGATATCTTCCAGTGAGTAGTTGTCCACGTTTTAGGAAACATACCTGATATCTTCCAGTGAGCAGTTGACCACGTTTTAGGAAACATACCTGATATCTTCCAGTGAGCAGTTGACCACGTTTTAGGAAACATACCTGATATCTTCCAGTGAGCAGTTGACCACATTTTAGGAAACATACCTGATATCTACAAGTTAGTAATTGACCACATGTTAGGAAACATACCTGATATCTTCCAGTGAGTAGTTGTCCACGTGTTGGAGAACACACTGCCTGGGTGTAATAATTCTCTAATCTTATCCCGGACATAGCAAGTCTGTCAATATTTGGTGTCCTTATTCTGGAGCCGTGGTAGCCGACGTCACGATATCCTAGGTCGTCTGCTAGAATAAATATAATGTGCGGACGTGTGTTGTTAAACTGTGTCACGTGACGAATGTTGGTAGATGGTGTGTTCCACGTTGATCTCAAAGGCTGCTTGTGATCTTCACAATATGATACGAGTGAGAATAATAGTTGGAGTACTCCTGAGCCGATGGATACAAGGACAAGAATCTGCACAGCCATCAGCGAAAGCAAGATATGTTTGGTCTTGAACGTTCTTTAGAATAAACAGAAAAACATCGATAACATGCGAGTGACTGTCATCATAGGTGCTCTGGAACGGGTCCGCAAATCGCGGCGTTTCACAATTGGAAATATGTTCCAAAATCTGCGGTTTCGTCCCCGGACTCTTATGATTGTCAGGAGCGGTTTAAAAACTAGATATATTTATTACTTTACAAAGTGCACACATCATTGCATGCTAAAACAAATTTAACTGTTATCTTATACATATGAAACCGAATTGAAATGTTATAAAATGAGATACACTTTATACATACCGCTTCATTGCACATACACTGTTCATTTTCGTTCATATCACTCAACGTTAAACGACGTTAGTGACGACGCCAGCTTCCAAGGCTGAAAGTATACGAAAATCGAAATTTTCATTTATTTTTAATGAACAACAATGTACCCTTTTATAATGTACAATAACGTGCAATTTATATTTCGTCCATAATGTACAATAATGTACAATTTTCATTTAGTTTTTAAATGTACAATTTTCATTTAGTTCTTAATGTACTTAATGTACTTTTTTATTTCGTTCTTAATACACAGTTATGTACAATTTTCTTTTTGTTATTTATGTACGGTAATATAAAATCTTTATACCAATAATGTACCTTTTTCGTTTCGTCCTTAATTAATGCAATGTGTTAAATTTTACCTTCTTTCTTAATGTACAGTAATGTACAATTTTCATTTCGTTCTTAATGTACAATAATGTACAATTTTCATTTCGTTCTTAATGTCAATAATGTGCAATTTGTGCAGTAAATGTACAATTTTCATCTTGTTATTTAAGTTCAATAATGAACAATTTTCAAATGAAAGCATTTATTTTTACCGTATTGCGATATACTTATTCCGGAACCAAGCAAAACTTTCCCAGATGTCGAGCTAAAGTCGGTACGAATAGGTACATCTTTGTTTTTATCAATTTTGCTTCTGCCCGAGCAGGATGCGTTTTTTTCTGCAAAATTGATAAAAACAAAGATGTACCTATTCGCCCATACCTGCCCTGATTATCAATAAAGCTAAGATCATATTTTCATCAATTGTATGTATTAACTTTGTTTAGAGTTTGACCATTTGAGACCACGCATCAGGAAAATAAGGAAAATGAAAACAGTACAACAACAACACAATGTCAGACGATTAAGGATTTCCCATTTTTATTATGGGAAAATTTGAGCATTTCAGACATTTAATATGCAATGTATACCAAAGATCACTAAGATCGCCCTACAATTGCTATGGTGGAGCATGTTTAAATGGAATAGATCATTTTATATGAAACAAGAAGTATCTTATATTTAAAAAGATACTCGGCCGAAGTCAAACTTGTTAACTTGCATAGGATAAGCTACTGCTTACCATGCTAACCACAAACAGAACATTTTATTCGTCCTCAATAGTTTTATTTCAGTTCATTTTTACCCACAATGTTTTTCCCCATTAATTGTTACTCAGATTTAAACAATATTACTTACATTATTTGATTTTAATCAAAATGGAATTTGATTTGAATAGGAATTTATTATAAAACAAAGATTTAGTAGATACTGTACACCTATTCCATGTAGAATTGTGAAACTGTAAATTAGCCGAAAGTTCGTTTCAATCGTCTTATGCCCGGTTCGAGAAGAGAATATATTGACTAGAACAGCATAGAAGAGAAACCCAATCGAACGCAAAAGTATCAAAAAGGCGATCTGTCGTATTTAATTTCATATATTTATTGAAAAGCTGTTAGAAACATCTAGAAAATTTCATTATTGTGTTTTTATATTTATTCTGTCTTATTTTTTTTTCAACACTTCTTGCCATCGCGCAATCGAACAGACCTCTACCTATAACGGTAGCTCTTTTAAAGTATCAATCGAACAGGCTATTAGTGTTAAAATGACCAATGAAAATTCTGCCTATATTCATTTCTTGCGGAAGTCAAGGTGAAATCAGACGGCATTCTGCCGAAAAATACATTTAATCAAAACTACTGTAGTTTTAGCAAAAATCATTGAAAAAAAATAAACAGGTGAACACAATACGATACCTATCCCGTATTTTTTTTATAATCGACTGTGTTCAGTAAGCTAGACCATAATAATCACATGTGAGGGCTGTGACAGACAAATATTTTTCATATACATCGTACCTAACGAGCTGTAAAGTAAATGTGGTACATGTGTTTCCTACCATGTATGCATTTAATGACATAGTTAACAGCTTTATATATTATAAAGCATACTGTAATGAAAAAGCTTTTGTAGGTTATTGAACGTTACCAATGCAAGTTATACAAAAGTAAACACGGTACGGAACCGTACACCGGATGTATGGAACCATACGCCGGATATAATTGTCTCTGATCATGTACTCCAAGCCCAGACAAAACAATTAACTTCAACAGCGTCAAATAATTCGCGCGCCTAGTATACTGGGTATATAAAATATGTGCTCAAAAGTGTACAGGGTATAATTAGCATAACTCAGAATAACGTTTAAAATGAGCAGTGAAAATGATTAAATGCCTCCACCATCCTCATTTTTATCAAATTCATCACCATTATCATTCATCATCCTCATTTTTGGCAGATTCATCATCATTATCCTCGTCATTATCATCATCTTTATCATCATTTATTTTCAAACATGGAAAGTGAGGTATCAGGCGGTGTAGGTACTTTGTTGGTTGCAGTCATAGTCGTAAAAATCATAGTCGTTGCCGTAATCTTTACTTAACTCGTATCAATAATACTAGTAATAGATTTAAATAGTCAATTCAATCATAGTTGTATGACCGCAAAAACGCAAAATGCCCGTACTAAAAATTGTGGGTTAGGGTTTGTCGTTTTTCGTAGCCCGTACCTTTTTACTCGAAGTCCTCAAGTCGTTAAATTTCGGGGTCAAATTTTTTGTCGTGTGATTTTCGTAAAAAAAATTGGTCATTTCGGGGGTCGTAGTGGGCAGCGTTTATGTGGTCTTTGGGGCTTTTGGGCGTAGTCTTGTTGGGGGTTTAAAAGGGGAAAACGACTATTCTTTTTTGGTAAGTTTACAAAAAATGAGCTTTATTTTACGGTGATTTTCCCAGCATCTTGAAGTAAACAGCTTACGGCTTTAGTTGTATACGTCATAAGCTGTCTTCGGTATTAGCTGTATTCGGTATAAGCTGTATACGTCGTAAACTGTATACGTCATAAGTGATTCGGTAAAAGCTGTTGTCGGAGACTCGGAGTAAGCTGATTTCGGTATTAGCTGTATTCGGTATAAGCTGTATACGTCATAAACTGTATACGTCATAAGTGATTCGTTATAAGGTGATTTCGGAGTAAGCTGTATTCGGTATAGGCTGGTTTCGGATTAAAGTGTATTCGGTATAAGCTGTAAACTGTGTTCAGATCAACGATACCGCTATTCCGTAAGCTGTAAACGTCGTCAGCTGTATACACAGTGCAACAATGTACATTTCATTGACGTCATGGTTATATCTATGATAAAGGGACGGCATCTTAATAAAAACATCGTCAGTGTTCTTCTTTATGCAAAGACGGCGCAATACACCCTTGCTACATTTAGTATGAAATTTTGAATTAACAAGGCCTCATATCAGTAAATATATCAGTACTTTTAAAAAGATGCGTCGTGTCAAAACTCCGTGCAGTAATCCACCCAAACTTATTGGAGGTTAGTCTGTTTAATAACCATGGATAATACCATTCAAATTTTTTCAAAAATCAAATTTGGGGGAAAATTGCCCATTGCGTACTTCAGAATGTTACAAATAAGTAAAAAAAAAACAGGTCAAATGTCATTGGCAAAAACTTTATAAACTAATATTATTACCACACAAGTATTTATTTTAGGCAATAAAAGGACAATACTAATCCACTTATTAAACACAAATTCAAACATGTCCTTTAAATTTAAAAAATTAATAGGATATTACTGGTAAATACATACCTCAGAGAGATACCATCCTATCATAAGGGTATAAATAAACACTTAACAAAACAAAACAAATATACATAATAAACACTTCTTGGGACAAACATTTTCTAATTTCTATTTCATTTTCTGAATTCACTAATGCAATAAATTTAGGCAGAATTAGTCTTTTCTAAAAGTTTTTTTTTTTAATAAATCTTCATCTTCTTGATGTGTTGATGCTAGCGTTCATTGAATTTCTAACGAGTCCAATAAAATAGTAAAAATTAATTACCTTGTATAAGTTGTTTCTTATATTAATTATCAATTATCCATTTGACTTATATATAAATATAAACAGTAAAAATGTTTTAAGTACAAGTACCTGGAATATGTTGTAACTGAAAAGAGAGATTTTATCTGGTGATGGGAATTGATATTTTATAAAAAGAAAAGCTGTTTCCCATTTTTCATGGTGAAAGTTTTCAATATATGAATGCATGTTGAATAGGTGTTTGATTGTATAGAATTAGGGAAGGCAATATAGGGCAATACATCGGAATTCTTCGGTCATGTCCGTCAAACTTCTTATCGGGTATTGACACTTAAGTTTAATATAAGCGCTAAAAGAGATCATTTTCATGAAATAATATTAACATTCTTTACGAGTTTACGTCATTTTCCGAATTTTTATTTATTTATCTATTTATTATTTCAAGTTTCTTGCATTTTAGAATTGATTCTACATGTCTGTCTTGCATTCTCAACAATCAATTCATGTTTCGGAAATACTCGTTATTCATGCCCGGATATTCATTAACTACCGCTGTGCTACACATTATTACAAGTTAATCGCGTGAAAAAAAATCTTTAACTCCTTTTTTATTTACAAAGTAAATCGGCGAGGCATTCTGAACGAAAGCTCGGACGTCATTGCTTCATTCCGTTTAAAGTACATATCATGTAGAAATAAATTATGTACATTCATGATATGACATAACTATTACGCGTGAATTTTTTGCAGCAACAGATCTAAATAAAAGTCGGATATTATTGTCCACAACTTCTTTGCATCTGTTGCTGTTGTTTTAATGTTATTGTAAATCATAAGTACATGTAATATAATTGATGTTTTTTTTCTACTGTATTACAGTATTAGACTATATATGTATAACGTGTACATGCAAGCGGAGATTTTATTTGTGGACAACATCATGAAATAAAAGTGTTGATTTTTATATAGGATATAATAAGAGGTTAATATGAATAAGGCAAAGCCTCAAAGCGAGCTCTTTGACCGAAATTAAAGTCCATTATAATTTAAAGCCATCGGTTGCTACAAATTTTATGTTTTCAATACACTTAGAATTGCACGCTTTCGGCCGCACAATTCACTCAACACCATATTTTATATTTTCCGTTTTAAAACTGCCATT